GTGAACATAGTATTCTCACGACCCTGTGCGGTGCCGCCGTGTGTTTGCATCACTACTGTGAGAGTGTTGCCTTCACTCTGTGCTCTGTACTGTTGGTGAGCGCCACCGTGTCCATTAGCATTGTTCACTGTTCAAAGGGTCAATATTGCTGGATGTGGACGTGTGACCTGATTTTTTGCTCTCTTTGATAACATCTTGTGGCTTTGTTTTATCTTGGTTAGGAATTCTCTTTTGTCAGCGAAAGCAAGAGATGCGATCCGGTCGAATGTTTCTGAAGCAGAGTGCGGTATTCGTGACAGGAGCACGAACACCTTTTGTAAAGTCATTTGGATCCCTAATGAGACTTGACAACGTGCAACTGGGTGCTGCTGCTGTTGGAGGGCTTCTGAAGAAGACAAAGTTGGACCCAAATCATGTGGACCACATCGTTTGGGGCAACGTTGTTCTGCAGCTTGATGCCCACAACTGTGCGCGAGAAATCGCCATTGAGTTAAACCTCCCCAAGCATATCACTGGCCACCTGACCAGCATGGCATGTGCAAGTGGTCTGAATGCCATGACGCAAGCAGTGATGATGATTGAAAGTGGCCACGCTGACGTCGTGATCGCCGGAGGAAGTGACAGCATGAGCAATGGACGGTTGGTGGCACCCGCATCTCTCTCTTACGGATTGGCCAGACTCACCATGGGGAAAAAGAAGGGTTTGGCTGCGCTTCCCATGTTCTTTAAAGAGGCTGGATACAACCCATTGGCGTGGCTACCACGCCCCATGGCGTTGGAGGAGCGGAGCACAGGCAAGACAATGGGATGGCATGGTGACATCATCGGCGAGCTTAACCAAATTGCACGTGCAGATCAGGAAGAACTTGCAATCAAGTCACACAAGAATGCAAGTGAGGCATTGAAAAAAGGCTACATGAAAGACGAGGTTGTCTCAGTCACCGTGGACAAGAAGGGCCAGTCTATGGAAGTGACTAGGGATGAATATATCCAGTCAGATGTGGAGAAAATGAAGCAAAAACTGCCAACACTGAAGCCAGCGTTCCGCAAACCGAATGGCACCATCACCGCAGGAACATCAAGCGGCCTGACCGATGGTGGGAGTGCCATGCTATTGATGTCTGAGGCGAAGGCGAAACAGCTGGGATACCCCACCGATGTAAAGATTAAGAGCTGGCACTACTCTGCTATTGATCCGTACCCACAGTTGCTGCTTGCACCTGTACTTGGGTGGGGTCCTGCTCTCAAGCGTGCAGGCCTCACGACGAAGGATATCGACCTCTTCGAGATTCATGAGGCGTTTGCTGCACAGGTGCTTGCTACCATTAAATGCCTGGGCTCTCAAGAGTTCTTTGAGAAGTACGCGGGGACAAAAGAAGTGACTCTGAAAGAGGAGTTCGATTTCTCCAAGCTCAATGTCAATGGAAGCTCATTGGCGCTTGGCCATCCTTTCGCAGCAACTGGAGGTCGGATTGCGACATCGCTGGCGAATGAGCTGCGCCGTTCGGGCAAGCGTCACGGGCTCATCAGCATATGCGCTGCTGGTGGGTTGGGAGGCGTTGCCATCTTGGAGCATACACCCAAGGCCAAGTAGTCAGGTGACACTTTTAGTGAGCAAAGTGCCTCTGTCTGTGTATGTCTCTTTCATAAACCATAACGAGGCCATCAGATTGCAATCGTTCTTTCCTCCCCTTACTACTATGCATGAGCGTGACGTTATGTCTTACCAAATGTTGTTTTTAGTTCCAGTTGTTGAATGTGCCGGTCTTGTGTCTCATAGTGCTATAAGTTTGACCCTGGGTCGCACCACAAATGCTTCTTGACAGCTGTGACATGCATTACCGATGTGCTGTGATCTTCCCTTTCTAACTCTCTTGATTCACAGGAGGAAGTAACGATGATCGTATGGGCTGTAGGTACCACCAATAAGGCGAAGGTTGAGTGTGTTGCTACAGCCGTTCGTACTTGCTTCCCGGATAAGCAGCATGATGTCAGACCTGTGCCAGTGGCATCTGCTGTTCGCGCACAGCCTATGTCCGCAGCGGAGTCTCAGCAAGGTGCACGATACCGCGCCAATGAGGCTCTGCGCCTCATTCCTGATGCTCACTACGGGGTAGGGCTGGAAGGAGGCCTAGAGAAGATAGAAGAACGTTGGTTTGAGTGTGGCTGGATGTACGTGGTGGAGCGATCGACTGGACGGCACGGGATGGGCTCTTCCGCACGTTTTGAAATGAGCCAGAGGCTAATGTCTAAGATTCTTAACGAGGGTAAGGAGCTGGCAGAGGTGATGGACGAGCTGACAGGCCAAACAGATGTGAGGTCTGGGCAGGGTGCAATGGGGATACTGACAGCTGGTTACTTGAACCGTGCTGACTGTTATTTGCATGGACTATTTTTTGCACTTGCTCCATTCCTGTCCGACCGAAAGTACTGGGATAAGTGATAATTACTTTTTGGTGCATGAACGGAGCATTCAACTCCACTCTGAAGGAGTGTGTATGCTTTTTTTTTCATACCATGATGTATTTGTATCGCCACATTCCTTTTGTTGTGTATCTAGGAAGCAGTGATGTTTACGCTGATCGGGGTGGGACTTGGCGATGCCAGCGACATTACCCTGAAGGGCCTTGAGGCTGTGCGAGAGGCAGACATTGTATACTTGGAGGCCTACACATCGTTTCTCATCAACAGCTCCACGGAGGAGCTTTCTACTGCATATGGAAAGCCTGTTTTAGTTGCCGACCGTGAGATGGTTGAGAGTGGTGAGGTGCTGCAGGAGGCCCAGCACAAGAAGGTTGCACTGCTCGTCGTTGGTGACGTCTTTGGAGCTACTACGCACTCCGACTTGGTGGTGCGCTGCCATGAACAAGGCATCAACTGCCATGCAATTCACAATGCCTCAATCATCAACGCTGTTGGGTGCTGCGGACTGCAGCTCTACCGTTTTGGACAGGTGCTCTCTCTCTGCTTCTGGACAGAAACGTGGCGGCCGGACTCGTGGTACGACAGGCTGAGGTCCAACCGGGAAGCGGGTCTCCACACCTTGCTACTGCTTGACATCAAGGTAAAGGAGATCTCTGATGAGAACCTTGCACGTGGCAGAAAGGTATACGAACCACCGCGCTACATGCGCATTGCCCAAGCTATTGATCAGGTACTGGAGGTTGAACGGAGAAAGGGGGGTGGTGCAGTAGCAGAGGATGGAAGCACTATGGCGGTCGGTGTGGCTCGTGTGGGATCTAAGACACAGCAGATTGTTGCTGGAACGATGCAGGAGCTGCGAGAGGTTGACTTTGGTGGGCCGCTGCACTCCCTGATAATCGCCGGTGACATCCATGCCTGTGAGGCTGAGCACGTGAACCTCTTTCGTTTAAAGTAAAAAACTGTGCGATGCCGCAGCGAGGCGAAAACAATGGTAACAACCCTATCCTTTCTGTTTTTGTTTTTGCTGTTCTTCTACATTGACCTCTGTATGCTACTCATCTATGCTTTCATTTTTGTACCTCTGTGACGTGTGCGTGTCTGTGGAAGCAAAAGGGGTCACATAGGGTCTCCTCTTGCGTGAGGAGAAGCAATGCTGCGTGGTGCCACAAAGACTCTGCGTTATGTGCACCCCACCGTTGTTGTGCTGAACTTTTTCCCTCTAGGAATGTGCAGCGGGCCCGTGAATGCGCACGTGTTCCTCCCGAGTAACAATTTCGACGGTGGCACAACACACCACATGAAGAAGATACAGGGACAAACGAAAGACCCTCAGCTCGTCCCGTCACGTGATGATCTAAAACTGCGCTGCGAGTACTGTCGCTTCCAGTGGATTCATGACACGCTGTGTGTTCGCTGTCCTGCGCAGCCCGTGCATAATCAGCGTGAGATGTGGTTGCAGCCGACATGGATGTGGGGTAAGCAGCAGCCGTACCATTACTACAAGTATATGCCGGCGGTACGCAACCCCAGGACGGGGATGCCGTTGGCGCGTGAGGATGCGTCGGGCATGAACAACGAGCGACGTTCGCAGGGGCTTACCACGAGGACGCTCAATATCGAGAAGGAGAGGCGTGGCATCTCAAGGGCGGTGTGCAAGATTGGAAAATACAATACCCGCTGGCAGACACGTTTCCCGTTCCCCATGTAGTGCGGCGTATGAACTCTTCACCCATTTTTTTTTTTTAGGAGTGCTGTGCACACCCAACCGCATCGTGGTGGAGGTGCGTTGCTTTCACGTTGTGCCTGCTTCTTCCGTTGTCTCACCGATTGAGATTGTGAACAGCGTCGCAGGAGAAGCGGCGAAAAGGAAAGGCCTCAGTGGGAGGAAGTCACATAGCCACAAACATACCTACGCAAAGGTAGTGTAAACGTATGAGCGCGGACCCTGATGCACCGGCGGATCCAAACCGGCGCAGCGGAGGTCATGTGATCCGAAACATGATCTACCAGCACGACAACTCCCACAATCTCGAGATTGTAACCGGCTGGAAGGATCAGGGCACGCGGGAGTACAACCAGCAGATTGTGCCCCCCGCCAAGTTGGATTTGCCACGGAGGCACCCCTGCCACGATCTCAACACGCAGTTGCTCCGCTGCAGTTTGGATTGCCCCGAAGAAATGAAGCTAGCGGGGCGCATCGCCACCTGCAACACAGAACGCAAAGCTCTGATGGTGTGCCTCACACGGAACAAAAAATGGAAGGAAGAACCCCCATCGTCATGGTACAGATTCTGGTGAGAGAGAATTGGCATCCCAGTATGAGGTGCTCAGAACGACATGCTAGCTGCTCTGAAGCAGGGACCTGCGACACACAAAGAAACCTCCCCCAAATGTTCTTCTGGAAACTATTCTTCTTCTTTCGTTAGGACTCACTTTACTTGTCACCACACACGTTCACACGAAGCAAGAAGAGAAGGTAAGGAAAGAGGGAGTGATACAGCTTAAATCCGAAAAAAAGTAAGAAATGCTCCGCCGTACGTGCCCAGCTGTAAGCTTCACCACATCCCACCGTGCCCTTATGCTCCGCACGAGTCGTCCGCTTCTGGGCGGTGACATGCACTCTCTGGAGCGCTTCAAGGCTGCGTGGGATGAGACACCCATTCACCTCCTCGGCGCCTCGCGCAAAGAGGCATTTGAGTGGCACTGGAAGTGCATGTACCAGCTTGGCCTCCGCGACACGACTCGTATGACAAAGCTCCGCGTGGTGATGAACTGGGGTGCACTCTTCTCGTTCCTGTACCTGACATACATTTCCGTCTTCTACGCGTCCTTCTACCATGTGTACTTTGAGGACTGGCCGGAGGAGTTCAAGCGTGAGAATGCACGTGCCTATGCACAGTCGAAGGGTGGTGATGTGTGGGCGGCTGATGGTAAATTCATTCGGCCGTACTTCCATATCAACCCGCCGATGTTCACTATGACAAGCGACGATCTGTAATAAGATGTTGCAAAGGGGGACTGAAGACATGGAACATTGTGTGTGGCGTAGAATTGGCTTCAAGGACAGACAGGAATTCTTTTTCCATTTAGTGGAGAAAGCGATTTCAGTATTGCATTCGTGCGTAGTTATTATCTTTTCTATTAGGCATTTTAGCAGTGGGACGCGGGGTTTCATTCCACTGCTGTCTTCACCACTCTGGATCCATTTTGAATACACGCAATCAACAACTACTAGAGGGAGGAGTGGTGAACGGAAAATGTGGAAGGAGGTTTCAATTTATTTTGATCCATCCACTTTAGTGCGGGTCTGGTTGCAAATGGGAACGTGAAATAGTGAGGTTATGACATTTGCTTTCCCCAGAGAATAATGGAAAATGCGACTGTGACTTCTTTTTGGCGTGGTTGTGTGTGCGTTTTTGTCAACCAGACTTTCTTCTCTCTTGGCGTTTGTTGGCTTTAAAAGGGGAGTTATTGGGGTGCGGCGGGCTGAGGGCTGCTTGGACGGATTGAAGAACACAACTAGGGAACCCGGCAAAACACACAAAAAAAGGAGTGATTGCAATGTTCGCTGTAAGATGTGAAGCTGCCTCCTTGTGGCATCCGGCAGTGCACCACAGTTTGCTGTTGCTGCGTGCCTTGAAGCAGCGCCACACACTTGTGCTGGAGCCCTCTGGCGTGGCAACAGCTCGGACGGATGCCTTTTGGCGACTCTCACAGTACAGCAGCCGCCTTACCATTTCTGCCCCTGAGAATAGTAGCAGTGGCGACGGTGGTGCACCTATGGACGGGAGCAGGGGGGAGTCCAGTGATGCATTGTTGCACGTTCCACAAGATGGACTCCAACGCGTACACGATCCACAACACATTCTATACTTTTGGGATTTGGCAACCTCGTTGCAGCAGCAGCGGCAGCAACAGCAAAAACATAAGCAGTTGCAGGCCTACTTGGATGCAGCTGTCGTCACTAGCCAGATTTTAGGTGCCGTTGATGATGTTCTCGTTGCGCTTAGCAGTGGTGAGATGGAGACAACGCGGCAGACACACAGCCACCTGATGGATCTCGTTGCCCGCCTCGACACCTCTCTCCATGGCGGTGATGACGGTGACGAAATGGTGCAGGAGATGGAGGACTGGAGTACGTGGCCGCTCTTCACGACGTTGCAGTTTCTGGTGGAGGAGGGCGGGCTGCTGCTTGGCCCGTTCCCTCGCATGGCTAAGGCGTATCTCCATTTGCGTGAGTCGAAACCGGTTGTGGCGCACACACGACTCGTCGACCGCACAGTGGCGTTGGCGCTGAACTCTGAGGATTCTCCTGCACAACCGCCAACATGGCCACACCGAAGTTTTCTCCGCGAGGTGCAACGGCAGCTGGCGGACTACACTGCCAACCCTGCCGAGCGTATGATGGCAGGTGTTGTCGGTGAGAAAGGGCCGTTGAAGGCGCGGGTAAGCGGCGCCCGATTTGGCTTGCAGTCTGTGTCTGCACGCACGCCCTGGACAGTGCAGCAGCAACAACTGAGGAAGCCGTAGTGGTTGTCTGAGTTTGATGTAGATGCGTATTGTATCACGACCGCCTTGCGGGGGCTGGTTTTATTCTGCCTTTGTGTCAGTGACAAACGCTTTTTAAATCTCTCTGCGACTGTAGCTTTGCGTCACCCTGTGTGACATAGGGAGTTTGATAGCGAGATGAGCCGCAATGGTGAGCTGTGCCTCAAGAAGGTGATTGTGTCGTACTGCCCAAGCAGCGGATCACCGAATGTGCGCCAGTTCCTTGCAACACATTTGCCCCGCTTTCACGCGAAGTACCCGAGCGTAACGATCGACATTCGCCCCCGTCTGTGGGCGGAGACGAGCATGACCGGCGTCTACCGCGATGGCAGCGAACGGGCCTGCCAGATACGGTACATGAGCCCGATGGGCATCTGGCTGCGCCTCAACCGTCTCGTCAACACTGCGAATGACTACGACCAGCCGTTTTCTGCCGCCCACCTGCACTTCCAGCGGCGCTCGGTGCAGGGCACGTGGAACCCATGGCTCTGGCACTACGAGACGGAACGCCGCCGCACAGAGGTTCCGCAGTGGCGCCGCAAGCTTTCGGAGGAGGAGTGGGACTACTACATCGGACAATACAGCGCACAGATGAAGCACGAGGAAGAGGAGATCCAGCGGCGGGTCACAGAGCACACCGACATTCCTGAGCAGAGCACCATGGAGGTACAGGAGCGGTGGAAGAAGCACGTGATGCCGCGCCTGCAAACGGACGTGGAGTTTAACCTCGCGCATTTCAAGCGTCAACATGCCAAAGGTCAACGGCCTCAGCCGGTGTCAATGGGAGAGTACAAACTCTTCTCCGTGCCTGACCACCGCGAAATGGGTCAGGATGCCGTTGATATGATGCGGCGTAGAGAGGCGAAACATCTGGAGGAGTGGTGGCGGCAGCGGAAGGAGCAATTGAAGCCGCCCAAGTGATAAGATGGGAGTGAAGCTGTAGCGGAATGAGTGATGGCGAATACGATTTGATCCGAGTGGAATTGGTGCGACTGCGATGAGGTGCTTGTCAATGATCACAACAAAGAGGGAGAAGAAGGGGGTGAGGCGGCGAACGGATATAATGCACACTGCACCTTCGTCTAGTCAGAGGTTCTTTTCTGCAGTGGCTGGATTTTGTCAAGTGCCGCTGCCCACGTGCATTGCCTGCTGTCTTTTGGCCGGCATCAGCGCAGATACCTGTCTTACAACCTGCTGAGGGCTGGTGATGAGTAACAACGAGTATCAAATATCACATGGCTGTCCTTTTTTATTCCCGTTTGATGCCTGAGGTCCGGCACCTTTTTCCTATTTCGCTCTTCTTTGTGTGCGTGCAATTAGACCTTTCAAAGCTAATGGTATTCATATCGCCTGTACACAACCATGTGGAGAATATGCCATACACATGTAGGGGGAGGCTGGGAGAGAGACCCTGCGAAGTGCACCTGGCGTCGTGCCTGTAACCTGCACTCTTTACAACATGAATCCCATCCCTATTGAGGACCAGTATAGTGTGCGCGGGTTCACCGTTGTCGGGGAGGTTTTTTTGGATGAATACATTTAATATCTTTGCACATATGTATCCGGGACGAGGCCACACCTTCTCCGCTGCAGCGGGCTCTATGGTGTCGCAGAGTTATAAGCCGTAGTGGAGGCACTTGAGTAGATTCACGCGGATGGGACGTACCCAATAGAAAAATAATATCGACTCCTCCTGCCAGCTGCCATCACGGCACATACTCTTTGCGGCCAACGCAATCATCCAAAACAGAAGTGCTTCTGACTTGATATGCAGTCAGGCACGGGGGAGGAGCTCTTTCCTCACGAGTGTAGCCATGTAAAAACCTACGGAGGCTTCATGACCGTCTGTCACGACTACATGAGTCTTATTCGACCCACACTTCTGCCAGGAACGATGGAATGGGGGTGTTTTACTGCACTTACCATGCTCTTTGGTCAAACTCGTCTCTTCGATGCTACCCCGCACCACACTGTGGATCATATTTTGACTTGTTAATTGTTGCTTTCCACAGCTGCATGATATGCCTCGTGGTGTGCACTCCGTTTCTCATGCATTCTCTTGTTACCGTCATCGGTGCTAGCCACAGCCTTCAATGCAGGAAGCATTGCTTGTCATCGTCGTATTCGTTGTCGGCCCTGTACGTGTGTGTGCTTGCTTGTCTGGACTCCGGATCTGGTCTTCTGCGGAATCGCGATAATGCTACGCATCGCGAGGCCTAACATCCTTCGGGATTACAAGTAAAATCTATTTCATCTGTTTTTGCTGAAACTGAAGGTAAAAACTCCTATTTTCCATTTTGTTTTATTCTGTTGCTGCATTCAAGGGGATATTTTTGTGAAGGAGTAATGCTTTGGCTTCGACTCGCGAACCTTCGTATGGATTACGTGTTCTCGTGTGTGTGTGTGTGTGTGTGTCGACTTGCACTGCTGGAATTGCACGGAACGCACATAATACTGGGCCACTGAACCGAGGCACTCCCCACGNGTGTGTGTGTGTGTGTGTCGACTTGCACTGCTGGAATTGCACGGAACGCACATAATACTGGGCCACTGAACCGAGGCACTCCCCACGCCACGATTCTGCCTCTCATTCGAGCTCTGTGGTAGTAGAAGCATACTCTCTTCTCTCATTCTTCTCTACCTACTTCGCTATACTGGGTGTGAAGAGCAGTTGTGCCGGTTACGTTCAAATACAGCTGAAGAGAAGAGGAGGAGGAGGGGGGCGGCGAGGTGGGCAATCTATTGTCATCTCTGGACCCCCAAAGTAGTGATATTTATCTAAACACTTTTTTTGTATTCAACTCCATATAGGGTGCGTACGACGTACACCCACACACCCACACAGACATCTTTGATGGAGGGAGGGGATCGGCGAGAAGGGCCGCTAAGCGCGTGGCCGCACGACAACATCAGTGAGCTACCATCATCGCTGATGGAGCCGTCTGTAGTAACGGTGGGCGTCGTCCCGTTGATTTCCATCACCGACGCGCTACGACGCGGTGAGCAGTTGCATCAGAACAACATGGGTTCACAAGGCAACATATCTATGCTGTCAACGGCGTCCCGTGCGAGCTCCTTGAATAATACGGTGCGGAGCTGTGGCTACAACAGCCTGCATAACATGCTAGGTCCTGTGCTGGATGTGCCGGAATGTATAATCATTCCACTTAATAGGCTGCGGTTGTTCCATTCCCATGTTCTGGGCAAAGGCGCCTTTGGAGAGGTGGTGCGCGGGGAGCTCTACGCTACCAGTGCCGCGGTGGACCACTTGCCCACTAAAACAGCCTTTCCACGCTTTCCTTTTAGAGGCCATCAGAAGACTGGCTTGACGCAGGGGTGCAGCGCCCGCAGTAAGGGATCCTGCAGCGAGGGCCGCCATAGCATCGTAAGGAGCCCTGAGGTTGATGGACGGACACAGCGCACCAACAGTGGCAGTGAACCCCAATTCTGGAGCACTTGCGAAGCAAAGAAGCCACCTGAGGGCCAAGGTGGCTCCCGTTTAATGGAAGGCGGAGCACGTGTGCCGCTGCAAATACCACAAGCACTACCACCACCACCGCGTCAGCTAGTGGTAACTCCACCGATGGAACGGTTGAGTTGTCAAACAACACTGGACGATGACGTCCTGAGTGAGACAACGCCCCCTAGTCTGCAGCCGCCCTTCTGTACCACGTCAACTGTGAGCGACACAATGCCAGCGTATCACCAGTTGAGTACCTCCACGTCCTTTGCGACGGACGGTCCACCCAGGGCGGTGGCGGTGAAGCGGATCGACAAGGCACGCCTCTCGCGGCGCCAGAAATTCATCTCGTCATTTCAGACAGAGCTGCACTTCGCCGCCACGCTTTGCCATCCTTCCTTTATCACTGTGCACGGCGTGGCGGAGGAGGATACGGAGCTACTGCTCGTGATGGATCTCGCGGAGGGCGGCACACTCGAAGACTACATCAAAACGCGGGGCCTAGAGGATACGCTCACTATGGCCCCGCGCTTCCTGGCTGATGTTGTGCTGGGGTTGGAGTACCTTCGAGCTGTTGACGTTGCCCACCGCGATATCAAACCATGCAACATGCTGCTCACAAGCGACTACCACGTGAAACTCGCCGACATGGGCACCGCGTGCCACCTTGACGACGACGCCTCCAACACATTTGGCGGCACCGCTGCGTACATGTCACCGGAGGTGGTGGAGATGGGCAAGGCGAGTGCGACGAGTGATCTGTGGGCGATGGGATGCGTGCTGTTTCAGATTTTCGTTGGCCGCCCGCCGTTTCAGGGCGGAAACTGCATGTTTGTCATGCGCAAGATCAAGGAGTACCGAGACGGCGACCTTAACTACCCGCCGTACTTCCCGGCGGAGGCGAGGGACCTCGTGCAGCAGCTGCTGCGGCGCGAGCCGAACGACCGTCTTGGCTCCAGCGCAACGGGTGGCTTTGACGCACTCAAGGCCCACCCTTTTTTCGCCAGCATCGACTGGTCCTGCGTGCTGCAAACTTCCAACATTGAACTCTACCACGCGGACTACTTGACGCAGCTGCAGGGCCTTCTGGAGGCGGGTGAGAAGGTCGTGCACTGCTCATTAGTGCTCAAGGAGAGTAAGAGATTCCTTCGGAAGGTGTCGCGGCAGTGCCTGCTCGTCATCACGGACCTCCCGCGTCTATTCTATGTGGAGGTCGCAACACGCGTGGTTAAGGGCAATATCCCACTCACACATGAGGTGTACGCGGAGGCTGAAACCATAGATAAATTTCGAGTCGTGACGAAGGAGCGGACGTACGAATTTAGCGACCTCAACAAGCGTGCCGGCTTCTGGGGAATGTACATCAACGACTACGTCAAGCGGTGCCCTGTGACGGGTGATGGGGACACTACCGCTCCACAGAAGCGAAGAATGTCCAACAGCGAAGACAGCACTGAAGAAAGTCTCTTGCTGAAGGACCTCCTTGTCGCGATCGCGCTGCATTCACCAGTCTGCAAGGGCATTGGCAACACCGCTGGCGTGCTGTTTGACCATTCAGGGGAAGCAAAAGGGGGGTGCATGGACGGCAGAACATTTGGCCGCCGTCCAAAAATGTAATACTATGGCCTACAGGCGTCCCAGGACAGTTTCCACGCATTTTGAAATTGCGTGTAACGCGCATTTGTTCATTTTTTATTACACAGGGAGAAAAAGTACACGGTGTCCTCCATTGCGTAATGCGGCGACAACGGGGGATATCAGAAGCAGCAGCAGTATCAGCAACAAAAAGAGAGTGGCACAGTAAGTGTAGAGTCCTGGAGAAGGAAGATGGGATGGGCATGATCATGGCGAACCCGGATAGAGTATTACTTGCTTTCATTGTGCAATGCCACGAATGAATGGACACAGTACTCCCTTTCACACCATCCTTTTTTAAAATTATTATGAATCTTTTGCTGCTCCAACTGCTATTGCTATTGCTATCAGAGGTGGGGTTGGGGAGGGGCATATGCACCCACACATCCGATGAGGGAGGGGGCGTCCAGGGGAACAAAACAAAAGCTTACAAACAAAAAAAAA